AGATAGATATATATATATATATATATATATATATATATATATATATATATATACATACATACATACATACATACATATAAGTCATTATCTGAGTGGCAAATGTTTTCCCACTGAAATACTTACTTCCCATCCTCCCACTCCTTGTGGAAGGAGCCTTATCTCTCAGACACTTGTGTCTCCATGCCATCTGTGCAAACCCTGCATAGATAGAATCCTTGAGGCACGTCTGTGGATCTAAAGATGCAGTAAACATGCTCTTTACTAATGGATTAGTGTTTCAATATATCTCAAAATAGCTAACAGTATCCTGGCATCAAAAACCACAACTGGAAAAAGCCAGAAGAAGGAACAATAGGGCCTCTTTTACCTCTGCCCCAAATTACAAAGATTAAAAAAAAAAAAAAAAAAAAAAAAAAAAAAAAAAAGAAAGAAAAGAAAAAAGAAAAAAACTCAACAATCTATACATATGAAATGTCTTTCCTTTTTAAATGTCGGTTTTAGAAATCAGGAAACTGAGACATTGAGAGGATAGGCAACGTGGCTTAGATCAAAGCTTTGAGATTAAGCCATGTTTCTAAACAGACTATCAAACTCCTAGTCGTTAACTTGTTTCCCCTGCATTGTTGTCACATTTTCAGGATTGTTATCAAGATCAAATGTAATAGTCAGTGATAATCTACATCAAATGTCAGGCCAAGGAATATAAAAACACAACCATGTAACTCCTTATACCTGAACATTCAAGTGAGAGGGACATTAAAAATCTTAACAGATGTGGGAGGAAAGGGAAAAGACTATCATAACAATGTGTTGAAATTATATGATAGCTAAAAAAAAAATAAAAAAAAAAATCAAAGCAAAATAAATACCAAAAATTCTTAAAGCCTCTTTTGTGTTTCAGTCTTTTTGGTAGTTATGATAAAAGCCCATGAAGCAGGGCAGTGAAAGTCAACAATTTGAGTTGCTCTTCACCAAAAAAAAAAAAAAAAAAAAAAAAAAAACCTCCCCAAAGAAACCTTGATTCTATAAACAGATCCAAAAAAATACGTGTGCAATAATATTACCAATTGTTAAGGTGATAGTGCATATAGAGATTTGTATAAAAGTGAAACATATAAATTACAACTTTTGACATAAATAAGAAAAAAGATAAATGAATAATTGTAAAGTAATCCCATGACTGAGTGTCACATTATTTCAGAAAGAGGCAAAAATAGCTTATATGTGAACTTTTAGAAGATTTAGAATACTTACTAGGTACTCATTATTCTAATTGAGCTAGATTCAGGTCATTTTAAGAATATGTCTTAGAAAAGTAGGGTAATTATGAAATCAGGGTCAGATGAAACAGTAGGGTAAATCTGAGAGCTATAAGCCTACCTATCCAAAATTGCTTTTCTGTTTTCTAGAGTGGTCTTTCAAAGAATACAAAATGGGAAGAAAAAAGTATGCTTCTCCTCAAGATAGTTGTTCTAAGAAAATGATTCTACCTCTGTAGAGTTTTAATTCAGGCATTTTTATTCTAAAAGTAATTTAGATCCCACAAATGAGTTTGAAGATGAAGCTTCCCAATGCACAGGTCAGCTTACCATTTATGAACTGAATGTGCACAGTTTACACATTTTTGTAGAGAAGTAAGTCAAAAACAATAGTTAGGTTATGAGATTAGTCCACAATATCACATTCCACTGTGCTTTTAACCATAGGTCTAAACGTTAATATTAATGAAAGCTTATAATCTGAGAACTAGATTTTAAAAAGTGAAGGAATAATTCTTTCAATTCTCAACAAATATTGACCAAGTGTCTACATCTACACTCTGCCAGGCATTGGCTTTTGTGCTGAGCTGTAGTAGGCTGGGTTCCTGCCTACATAAAGCATAGATTCTGGTGAAGGTGCATTTCTTTTTTTTTGGGGGGGAGAGGTCAAGTCTAACCCTAAATAATATGACCAAGGGAATTATCTCTACTTTTCTTCTACATGCTCTTGATGGTGGTTATCACCAAGACACCCAATTTATTCACAGGATTAAAGTCTCTCACTGAAATTCTCACCCAAAATTTTGCTAACCACACATCCTTCAACTTTGTGGTGGCTGATGTCAGATTCATGAGACAGTATACCCAGACGTATACCTATTTGCTCGTATCAGAAACACCCAGTTTTGTCATGGTGGTTCCATTACTTGGGCAATATGTTAGCATTGATCAACAAAAGCATCTTTATCGTTTGGGTCAGAAAATATTCATTCCTGATTAATAACTGTGTCAAAAGAATCTCCCAATATTAAAATATAAATCACCAGGAAAAATGAACAAAAATATATAGGTTTAGATAGCATGAAAAGCATGGTGAGAGATTATAAAACTTGGAAAATCATCCATGAAAAGCATTTTCTGCACTTCTAAAGATCTCCAAAGAAAGACAATCCTAAATCAACTTGCCAAAGGCTTAGTAGCTCTTTCTCTTTTCAAGAATGTATTCTTAAGAATTAATGTAATTCCTTTTTGTTATTGCTTAAGTTCATTTTCTCTTCTTTTGTTGTCAATAGATGCTTGTTAAACCATTGCACATATTTGTTCAAAGAATAAGGGATATCATGTTCTTTATAATAATCCTGCTTCAAGATAAAGGTACACTGAAACACCAGGCCCAATACTGGAAAGATGTGACTTATTTACTTGGTGCAAATCAAGTATAAAAACCAATTATATGTGTGGGCTTAATTTCTAAGCATTTTTCTTTAGTGGATAAATTTAGAACTAAAATTTCTATGTCTATTAGACGATGATAGAGAGATGGTGGTAATTACTATCATGTAGTTTGATATAGCTGATATTTATTGAAATCTTACAATGTGCTTGACATTGGAATGGTCGCCTTTATGTAGATTTTCTCACTTACATACATTTTCTTATTTAATAGTTATAATCATCCCGTGAAGTATTATCTCCTTTTAAGAGAGAAAAACAAGGCTGAGGGAAGTCACACAGTTAGTTGATATTGGAGCTGAAATTTGAACTCAGGGAGTCTAACACCAGAGCTTACACTCTTAATCACTCTGAAAACTAAAGCATTTGTTAAAAAATTATATCAGGAAGCTTGTCAGCCACACTGTCTGTTGGTTCAGTTGGCCACGGATTTGCAAAAAATAACTGCTGTGTTAACTTGGTTAACTTCATAGCACTAATCAGATATAGGCTGTTTTATTTTTCCTGTTATACAAATACATTTTTATATATGGATAAATGAATTAAGAACGTGGCAATGTTGGCTGCTGTGAAATTTTGAGTCCCTTCTTGAAAGAATTTACATAGTTATCTGGACATATATAACTAATTCATCCTTGAAAGAGTATGGCCTATGTGTTTTAGAAATGTGATTATCTGTTATATGCATTCTGTAGAGAAAGGATATGATTCTGTTTTTATACTTCGTCAAAATACCTGTGAATTTATTAACATGATGTGATATCAGAAGCGTGATACTGTGAGTCCTGCCAGTGAATTTACCCAATGTGTTATTTGAAATCTAAAAATCTCAAGGACCATCAACAAGCAATCAGAACTTCTCAGTCATTTCACATGAAGTGCCTTGGAAAATGAGAGTACAGGACAACCTTCTCTGGGCATTTGTGTAAATCAAAAGTGAAATGAAACACCAGAAACACATGTCAAATGAATTTATAGTAAACACCACTTTCCATGTGGTGGTGGTTTTATGTTACCTAATAGTGTTCAGACAGTTATTAATGCAGAGAAGTGCAAGAGAGAGCTTCTGCATCATAGTTATATTTTATGGTTTTCCTGAGAAATTTCAGGCTGCTTTCTACCTCATCTTGTGATTATCTTAGAAAGTTAATATGCATAGTGGATGTATAGACTACAGAAGAAATTCTGCATTTCAGGGTAATGGTATATAAAAGTGTCCAATTTCAAATACTTTAGTGTTGGGAAAACTAATAGTCTCAATATTTATATTTAGTTTAAAATGTATAATAGCTAACAAACCAAACAAATAATTTTCATAAGTTAAAGTCTTCACATGCTAATTTAGACACAATAATGAAACTTACATCAAGATTTATTTACATTATTTGAGTTAAATACAGGCAGTTTTTGTGTGGGTGCACACACATTATTTGAATCAAATTAAATTAATATGGTTACTGTTCAATGAGTTGATACTTGAATTTTATTTGCCTGAAAAATTTTACCGTTCAATGAATTGATACTTGAATTTTGTTTGCCTGCCTTTATACAACAAAATTAACTAAATTAACTATGCCTTTTAATGAGTTGCTTGCAAGTTACATGAGCTGATGACAAGTTTCAGATATTAAAATATGGAGCCTAGTTTCTCACAGCTATTCTCTGCCCACAGGTTGTATATAAAAATAATGATGTAAGGCTGGAATTATCTCGACTTGCCAAGCAAGGAGATCCTAAGATGAAGATACATGGAGTGGTGGCATTTAAATGTGAGAATGTTGCAACTTTAGACCCAATCACCTTTGAAACCCCAGAGTCTTTCATCTCTCTGCCTAAATGGAATGCAAAGAAAACAGGCTCCATATCATTTGATTTCCGCACAACAGAGCCCAATGGCCTTATCTTATTTAGCCATGGCAAGCCAAGACATCAAAAAGATGCCAAACATCCACAGATGATAAAAGTTGACTTCTTTGCTATTGAGATGCTGGATGGCCATCTCTACCTCCTCCTGGACATGGGGTCAGGTACCATAAAAATAAAAGCCCTGCTGAAGAAAGTGAATGATGGAGAATGGTATCATGTGGACTTCCAGAGAGACGGACGCTCAGGTAATTTATCATTATTCTATGCTTTTTATCTGTTAGAACGTTCCACTCATCCCTGCTGTTCCTAATAATTAAAACCAAGACATATTAAAGATATCCTGCATTTCTGTTTTTTAGAGTAAGGGAAATTGTTATTGTTTCTGTTTCCCATCATATAAAAATCAAAAGGAGCTAATTAATCATCATAGACATCAAACCCCAAATGCTTAGATGACTTCTAGAATAGCTTCTTAAATGAACATTTGTGGATAATCAAGTGTCAAATCTTGCAAGAAATTTTGTCTTGAATTTGCAGATGACTAAATTCAGGTTCTTGTATCCCCAATTATCTATGTCATTGGGTGTTTGGAGGTACCTGAGTGTCATTGGGTGTTTGTAGGTACCTGAAAAAATTAAAATAATCCACACATACAATTCTTAAGTTGATACAGCACGCTTTTATCTATGGTACTGTAAAAACTTCAGTCAACACAGTAGCATTTCAAGGACAGTAGCAAAGCTCTGTTGCCCTCTGATATTTGGAATTCCACCAGCATTCATTCATTTCTCTGGCTTTCTTTTGTTGCATTTTATTTTCTCTAAGAGGGGAGGAGGAGAGAGTGGCAGGGAACGTTTCCCTGAAGAAATAACATTTACAGTGGAATTTGGGAGTGGCACGGGGGGCTTAAAATTTGCCTCGTATGAGCTTTGGGGTAAAAGAATCATCCAGGCAGAGGAAATGACATTTGTGGGAATCCTGAGAGAGGGTGGAGGGGGAGAGAAAGTGAGGGAAAAAAGGAAGAAGAGAGGGGAAGAGAGAGAGATCTAGCTACATAATATGTCTTTCTCTTCACACAGTGCTCCCGTGCTCTGATTGTCCTTCTCATTTATAAATCAAATTATCTTCTTAAAATAGAAGACATCTGAATTTAGACCTGTCTACTCTCCTCCTCTCTCTTCTCCCATTCCCTCGTTTACTTAAATATTATATCATCTACTATGGATTTTCCACTAAATAACAGTGTAAGCTTGGCCAACGAACTTTGTGTGGGTCTGTTCTTTCGCTTGCAGAACAACTATTGGGAAAGACCCATCCCAAACCCAGTAAGGGGGAATCAATGGGGCTGAGGATTCTATAGATTTACAAAATTTTCCAGATTACTTTGATGGTCAGCCAGATTTGCAAACTACAGAGCAGATGACACCTAGTGCTTCTTTTCAACCCAGTAATCTGTGATCACTATCCTATTGCAGAAAGGCGGTGCTGAAGTCCTGGGGCTGAGCTCTTTTTTCCACACGTGCTTGCAGGGGCTCCCTTGCCACTTGCTTAGCTGTGGTTTCTCTGCAGGGGAACTGTTTTCTGTTTCCTTATTATCCGTGTTGTTTGTTTTTGTTTTCCTACTAATAGATCAAGAAGATTGTGTTTGCCTTCGTAGAAATATATTTTTCACCCAACAAAATAGAGAAATGGAATGTATGAAAATTGGGAGGGAGCCGGGGGTGAGGGTGGAGAATAGAAGGAAGGTCAGAACTCATTGCTGTGATCCCCTGATATCTGGAAGACTCTGTGATTCATTTCTCTCCAGAAACTTCATCTCCCTAAATCTTCTCTTTTCCCTAAAGAAGACTGCAAGGAATTGTACTCCTCTTTGTTTTTCTGATTTAAGCTGAAAGGAGTTTATTGAGACAGCAGAAATATAAAAATAGAGTGTCTCTCTCCGGCTCCCTCCAACCTATCTCTGCCAGAGTTAGAAGTTAATGTGCTACTTAGGAACTTCCAAACAGAAGAATTTAAGAGAGAGTGCGGGCATGGGTTAATCTAGTGCTTTAAAATATTACCTTGTAGATGGTATAGTTTGATTTAAGATATATCCAGAATAAAATTTAAAAATGACTTTTAAGAAGAGATGTTTTAAATCAGATTTTATAACAATTTAAAACAGATCAGATTAGCTGTGCATCTTTAGGAAGTTTGAGAAGCAAAAAATACCAAACTTCAGGTTAGGTATATTTCATTCACCTAGAAATTAAGTATTTTCTAAGTGTAAGAAAATAATACATAGTTAATGTCAAAAGATTAGTAAACACAAAAGAATATAAAAACAACAATAAAACTATTGATTATTCATTTGATAATAATGGTTTATATTTTTGGATATTTCTTTCCCGTCTTTTTTCTATGTGAATTATATGTGTGTCTATATATATGCATGTATATGTGTGTGTGTGTATGCATATATATAAATATACTGTGAAGAATCTGTGTATTTATATCTGTATACAAATACACACACACACATTACCCATGCACATACACACATATACACAGAGAATAAAATTAATTTGACTTTTTTGATGGGTCCCCTTATTGAGGAGAAAGTGTTGATGCAATCTAATTAATTATCAGATTAATACCTTAATCCTTAAGTTGAATAAAATCTACTTAATAGTTTACTAACTACCCTATTTATACCCTCATTGGAGAAGGACAAAAGCAGGTAATATTTACTTTAATATACAAATCTTAATTTAGTATAGTAAGAAAATAAACATTCTGTAAGAAAGTGTTATTTGTATCTAAGAAAGAAAATAAAGCATGAAATTTTTGTTGGAAAACGACGGAAAGATTAAGTTACTGTGCTTGGTGGTGTTTTATTGTAAAGTACTTTCATGTGATTATAATTTCAGATTAGTGAATTGGAACAAACAATATAAAAACTAAAGCTCGGTCACTAAGCCAAGTTCTGCCCTTTACTAAATTGAAAAAAAGAGAGCTCATATTATGTTGGTCTAGCTTAAGGGAGTTTAATGTAATTTTAATAGCTGCGGCTGTTAATATTTTATATATAGTATTTCAATTAAGTTCTATATTTGCCCGTTGCATTGGTTTGGTATAAAGGAGCCTTTTAAAAATTGAATGAATGTCTATATGGCTTTTATTTTACTTAAAGGATATTTCTGATTTTGGCTGGTAAACTACTAAGATTTATAACTCAGTTAAAACTAACAAACATAGAATTTCAAGAAATAATTTACTTTGCCCATTTTCCATATCAGTTATATTCAGAGACTGTATGAAAATTATTTTTCATGTAATGTGGAGAAATGGGTCTACTATGACAGGAGGGTAATGTAGGCTGCTTTCTGACTCATGGACAATGACAGTCATATCTATTGATTTGCCTGGAATACCCCTTAGATTAATATTAAAAAAAAAAACATTTAAAGACCCGTGCTATCTCTTTTATTAAAGTAGAGGCAGCAGAGGTCTAAGAGTTACTCTTTTTGCTGCTGACCTTATTGGCTGACCATGCTAACGTAAGTAGAAACATAATGGGGCCATGTCTATTAATTTAACTATTGGTTATCTTGTCAGAAATAGGATTAAAACTGTATTTGGTGGACACAACTGAAATTTTAATATTCCCCAGTTTGTAAGGGAAACCCATCTATGAGACAATGAAAGGAAATATATTACTTATTTTTGTATACACAGTTCTTAATTTAACTATTGGTTATCTTGTCAGAAATAGGATTAAAACTGTATTTGGTGGACACAACTGAAATTTTAATATTCCCCAGTTTGAAGGGAAACCCATCTATGAGACAATGAAAGGAAATATATTACTTATTTTTGTATACACAGTTTCTGGTACTTTCTTAGGCATAGCAGTTGCTCAATACGTATTTGGTATAAGAAAAATAGAGAAAAAACATGTGAATGGCACAGTGTCAAACAACTCCTAATGTTCTAAAAATAGGAGCATCTTTACATCTGAGGAATAATGGCACCCTTTACTTGTAAATACAACTTTTTTATAATTTTAAAAATTTGTTTAAATTCCATTACTTCCTGAGAGCAATTTATACAATATAGGATAACAAGTGCTGTCTTTAACAAATACAATGCCATCCTCCAAGCTCAGATGTCTAAAATAATGCACCAAGAGGTTTAAAAAGTTGTTAGAGAATTGTGTAAGCCTGGTAGGAAAATGACAAACTTTTATGAGAAAGAGACTGGTATTCCTGCTTGTTCATGAGATCCCTAAATCATTTGGAAAACATGCAGGTAGAAGGTAAATTAATCAAGAGAAAAGGTGTTAACTCCTTTCTGAGGACTGGGATACACAGCTACAGTAATCATGCCAGTGACAAGGAAGTCTTGATGACCCAGGCTGTCCATCTTTCTGATGGTCTGCCCTTCCGTCTTTGTTCACTTAAAGGGATATATGAGCCCCTTATTTTGATGAGGAATATTGCCTTCATCTGCATATTTTTCTAAAACTTCCTCACTTTTGGCAAAATTAAGTGTACTGCCTTCCTTCTAACTTGTGTTCTTTTTTCCATTCTGAGACGTGAGAAAAAAGAGGCACTTGAATTTCCACACTTGGAGTAATACTGTTTGGCCACAGCTTTCTCTACGCACCTTGTCCCTTTCTTGCATTGCCTGTTCAGTCTCTAACCAGTGGCATGGGAGGCCATGTGGGCTAAGCCATGAATGGCAACTTCAGATCCTGTGCTAAGCTGGCAAAGGAGGAACCATACAAAGTGCAGGTGTGATTTAGTGGATCAGAATGGATGTCTTAAGTGCAGCAAAAACTAGATATCTTCTGTGGATAGCTTAGCTACTAACAGAGCAAAACTGCTAAGTTGCTGAGTTAATATACATATGATTGAAGAGGCCTAACACTCTGCAAACTTGCGGGACTTACAGCTGAACATTTCCTTACCAGTCCTTCCTTCCTTTCCAGACATCCCCTTTTCCTTTCCTTTGGTCCCATCCCCAAAACAATACAGCTGTCTGGATATTTAGCTAAAGTGTGCATTATGCTACAATTAAGATGAGGTTAATGACTGTTTTCTTGGAGCACAAATATTGTTTAAATTTGTGTTAAGTTCTTTGGCTCAGTCAAGGGTATCCTCTCAAGTATTTTTATAGCAAACTGCCAGTCATTTTTCTTTTACTTTTTTCTTTTTCAAACCGCAGTTACACATTGAAATCAAAGAGAAAACTCATTATTCTT